GAATTAATCACGGCATTATTCAATTGTATACTCGCGTGGAGATTATTAAAAAAAAACCGGATATATACATACAACTTACCAAATATGGTGCAATATTTTTTAATGTATTCAATGGTAATTATTTTGTAATTAACTTCTAAACGTGAAATGACGCATTCAGAAGAGAAAAAAATACTAACGTTTGTTTTGGTGTGTAATGCCAATGTAATTAGTAAAACGAAGTCGTTATTATACCTGGACAGCATATTATAAAATGTATGTAATACTATTAAATTGAATACAGTTTATAATGGTGCTATAATTAAACGTTCACCTAGACCATCCATTACATAGACGTCAACCTAAGAGTTTAACGGCTTATTAAAACTTTATCAGTTATTATAACTGTTATACGATAGAAAAAATATTTTAAAGTAAAAATGTGATCACCTGTATGTAAATATTTTGTTTGAAAACAATAGTTTTGATAAAATCTATTCAATCCTGTTTTTAATGTAATTGGGAACAAACATTAGTAACACATGGTATTTTCGACTATACTTTTAGCTGGCAAAATGTTTAGTAAAATTATCTCCAATTATTAATTTAAAAGTGCAAATTTCACGTGAGTATATTAGGTACATAGTACCTATGTAAATATATTTTCCATTGTAAATTGTATTCCATTCCATTGTATCTATAAGAATTACAAATTGATCAATGTAATTCACAAGGCCCGGAAATGCTGTATATCCGCTAAAAAAATATACTAATAAAATAGGTTTTAAGGATAATGCTGATAAACAACTGAATACAGTATTAAAGTTAAGGTTTTTAGCTCATTTCATATTCAAACAAAAAAAAAAAACATTATAAATATTATATTCAAAAACCCTTCTAAGAGATGAAAAACAGTAAAAAGAGATGGTTATCTTTTGTTTAACAAACTATGCTTCAAAGCAAATTGTGTATACAACTAACCAACGCATCCGATGTGAACACAACCATAGTATGTTTTTGCATGGCGTAAATACCACACGTTCACATGCTTTTAAAAGAACACACTCGAGTCTTTCATTGCTGCGCTGCTTACAAATTAACCCTCTTTTCTCGTTATTTTTTCCATCTCTCTTTAATATCAACTTAAAAAATGTATACAACTCAAAACGTTTTGAAACCGGACGTTTTACATAGAATAATAAAACACACGACAGTAGCATTCCTACAATAGTTTTACCTAACAGTAGATATTTTATTAAACTTCATATAATAATTATTGAAAAAGTGACAATAGATAATTTATACAAATTAAAATTTGTCTAATATATTATAAGTCTTCATTCTTCGGTATAGCATTAAATATTGGGGAAACGTCATATTATAACATTGACATACAATATTAAATATTGTGTCTACAAAAGTTTTCCACAGAACTTTTTGTTTGTACTTGGTTAGAGGCTAATGTTTGGCGTTTCTTTTCAACGTTTTCAAATGTGTAATACATTTTTCCCGGCGGTAAAAGGGGAAACCACACAAATCTTTTGCGCGTTTAAAAATTCTCCATCGCTGATGTATCATTAATCATACGTCGTGTGTTGCTTGTTTTTCTTGGAATATAAGAAACATGTTCTATGTATACAATAATAATATTCCAAGATTGGCAAACACACGGCTGGTGTAATACTAATCACACACCTCTAGTTTTTTTTTTAAGTTAAATCAAACCGAAGTTACTGTATGTAATATCTTATAAAAGCCAATACCAAAGCGTGCCCCTACAGTTGGGAATTTTAGCAAGTGTTTCCTGTTAGCGTATACTGGATAGTGAACTGTGTTGACAGAAACATTGGCAAAGCGGATTAAAAAATTAAAAAACAACTGCAGCGATGATAGAAAACGTACAACACCGCGTTAGGTAAGTAACCCGGACCCAGAACCCAGTTATTAAAAAAATAAAATAAAAAATCAGCAAATATAAATTATTAAACGTGTACATTGTACGCGACAGGAGTGCAAACCAACTAAATATCAATAAACATTCTTGCGTGGCCGGCTCGAATAAAAAAAAAAAAATGCTGTCAAACATACTTCACAATACTTACAAACAAACAAAGGCGTCAATAAAAAAACGCCCATCGTTGTTAACCGTCTATTTGTTCAGCTATATAATAATGTTTCCAAACGCTAACGATAGACTCGGACCATTAACCGTTGGCAAATGAATTGTTAATACAATCAGATTGTAAAATTTACAAAGTATATGTAAATAACCCGAAATTTTACATATTATAGTAACGACCTCAGAATAATTTCGGCTGGTGAATATATTGAAATCGTAGGCCATTGTCGAAAACAAAAACAGTTATAGATTTTAACTCCTGGTTCAAAAATATATTTTTTTCAATTGCTTATTTGTTAAGACTAATAGCTTAACATAAAAATTGTACAATTAGTTAATGCCCAAAGCCTGAAACTTGGTCCAATGGAAACGTATACGAGTAACAACAAGACAAAATAAACCAAACGCAGTACAGTAAGAAGTTAGCAACGATAAGGTACCTAATGCGTTTATATCACAGTCTAACGCTTCAATAGTAAGAAGTTGACGGTTTTCACGGATTCGCCTCGAAGTGTTTTATTCGAAAAGTTTTTGTTTAGATAGGGACTTTCAAACCACCAGGCATCACCATCGTCTTATGTCATTTTACTGTTCCCTGATGTAAGGAAATCAAATTATATTGCACTAAATTGTATTACTTCCCCAGGCCCGTGGTCGCCTAACCTGGCGAGCATTGCGATATTTTCATTTTGTAGTTTTTCTTTTGGAGACATTTTTGTTTAAATTGTTATTTTACTATAATACAAATTTACTAAATATTGACCTTTTTTTAGTGTTTTCTGAAGCCCCGCCCTCGTTTGAAACTTTATGAAAATGTATCAATAAGCAGTTTTAAAAGATAATCTATAAAAAAATATTGTAATACAATACAATATAATTAACAAATGTTTACTAAGAATACAAAACTAATAACTTTGATAATATATAGACTTTTAAGAACTATTATAGCTGAAAATGATAAAGTCCCTTTCGAATAAACGCTTCAGGTTTTCCTTACTAAAAATACCATACCTTCTCAGCTTCACACAGAAGCTAAACAATTTAATTGGCCAGATTACTGGAATTTTAGAGAACTATACTTAAATAATTTCACACGGTGTAGTGTCTTTGGAATTGGCCACGCGACGTTGACAACTCGAGCGCGGTTAACCCGGTGTACAGGGTGATCGGTTAAATATGACCCAGTGATCATCTTAGAAGTTTTGAGACTTGGTACAATTATTATTATTTTTTTTTTTAATATTTTAGCTGGCCCAATTTTGATATGTTTTTCCAAAAATATAACCCCATATCTTATCTTAAAACCTAATAAAATCAACGACCAGTCAAAATGTTCAGATAATGATTCTCAAAGGGTTATATTTTGTTGAAAAATATTTATATCAACATTTGGGCTAACCAACTTTGGACGAAGTGTTTGTATAACACTTTGAGAAGTCAACTGGGTCACATGGCTGCGTTAACCAATCCCACCCTGTACCTCCCTGTCGTTTCGCCGATGCTTGTTAAATATGTATGTACGGCGTACTTGGGCGTTTCGGCGAAACTCGTTTAGGGCAACAGTCTTCGCACGCTTGGATAGGCAACCGATGTACATATCTGTGCCGGCATCTAGTTTGAATTACCGCTCAGAGGGCCGCGTAGATAGCGATCTGACGTGAACGTTTTTCTCTTCAACTCAATTTCGACCCTCCCCTTAAACCCCCTCCCCCCCTTAAGGCCGACCGGTATTCTTGGCCGACAGCTACTTAAATAATAAACACGAACGCGAATTATTTAATAAACGGAATACTTAATCGCCCAAAAGCCGGCGAGTAGTGTCGTTTGTGTGTGTGTGTGTGTGTGTGTGTGGAGGGTTTTGTACAACGATAATTTATACTTAGTAATTATAATGGACGGTAAGTGCGAATGAATGTGTGTGCAACTGTCGGCCAAATATCATGACGACAATATTATATAAAAAAAAAATGTATAGAGATGTGTGAAAAAGGTCGCCCGGCCTGTGATAAATGCGAACACCTAGCGATGATTATTATTATTATTTATATGTATATATATATATATATATTTTTTTTTACGGTCTCCGTAACCACAAAACACTGTTGATGTGATCGTTAGCTGCGTCGGACTAGATATTTTTTTTGCTTGTATTCATAAAAAACGCGTGACCCTTTTTTTTTTCTTTTTTTACTCGCAAAATAATGTAAAATATTAATACGAATACCTTTGGGCGAGGTTAAACCCGATGGGGGCGCCCGAAAACAATGCGCAAAGGCCTCAATGCTAAATCATGTCCGCATGATAATTATTATTATTTCAATAATATAACAGTAATAAAATCACAGAGCACACGGAAAGAACGGTATTTGTCTATTTGTTTTTTCGATTTTGACACAGATTAAACAAAAATCAGACAGTGCATTTTATAGTAAAAACAATAGATTTTCGATTGATTTAGACTTAATGTAGTTGGGCCGAATTATAGTGCTGAAACTACTGTACACATTTTTTACAATAATAACGTAAACTGATAACAAATGGTTAATTAACGATAGTCGATAGTGATAACATTACTTCGTCGACACTGAAGGATTATTTTTATTATAGTTTGGTCACACTGACCTGAGATCATTAAAGTTTGTTTACATTATTCGATTTTTTTTTTACAGTACAAAATTTGGTTTTATTTAATCTATGATTTTTATTTGAATGGTACCATTCAATGGGGTACATTGAAAAGTCGCCCTAAAATAGACCACTTCACTTAATTCTTCCCCTGTGCTCTTCATTAATAAACTTAAAAAAAAATGCCATAGCATCGAAAAACAATGATTACTATTATTAGCGCAAGTACAATAACAATATATATACATATAAAAATTGTCAGATAAAATGTATTTACCGTTCATGGCGGTGCAAAATCCGAAAAACAAAATTGACGGTCACGTTGTCGTGCAGACGTTATTAGTTGATGTTGTTGTTGTTGTAAAACTGTTTTTCTGAAATAAATATAAAAATCAAACGCAATTATATTAAAACTCTGGTACTTAACGGCGAGAAAATCGTTCTGCTCTATTTTTTTTCAGAGCGCAAAACATAATAATACCCGCTACATGGGACGATTGGTTAGCTGTATGACCAGTGTTGTGAAAATTCATATTCGAATAAACAAATAATTATTTCAAAAATTATTTTTGAAGTTGTTTAAATGAAAAATTATTCGACCGATTATTTTTGAAATTATTCTATTGAAAAATTATTTAATAACGTTTACTCGAATATTGTGTTATATAGATGATTATATTTTAGATAAGGTTTTATTGGAATGATGTAAAGCTTTGGCTTTGATTATGTCATTATTTTAAAAATTATTCTCATTTTTATAATAACTAATAGTTAGCTCAAAATAGATATATTTATGGAATATACATCAAAATCGGGTCAATAACCCGAATAACTCTGTCTTATACTATTAATAACAACACATTATTATCTGCTTTAATTAGTGAAATTTGGTTTGTTTGTCTATTTAAAGACACCCTGATTAATGGTTGTGTCGTAGTCCGTCGACGGATAATACTATACCTATCATTAATTATTATTTTATTATTTCATAATACTATACCATTTGCATAATAACAAAATATGACGAACGACTGAGTATGGTTTTATTAAAAAACAAAAAAAATAATAAACCAACATAAAATGTAAATGTAAGTAATAATTAAGTTTCTTAAACTGTCGGTTAGTGAATCGATTCTCCGTACCAAAGTTTTAGAATTATAATACGAATCGTTGGATTATTAAAAATATTTTTTTTTATAAGACAACTGCTGTTTTTGCTTGAAACTGATGAACCGAGGGATTTTTCCCTATTCAATCGGGCCAAAATAGATGATCTCCACTTTCTTCCCTTTCAATTAACTCTAATAGTACGATTTTTGATAGATGAGACGTTGATCGATGAGATCATTGTTTGACTAGTGTTTTTCATGTTCTAAAAACACAAGAGTCTGGTGGGGTAAAGTAAATCGATTTTTGTTTGTTGGTTTTTTGCCATTTTTAGCTCAACTCATAACGGATAGGCACGGGACAATGCAAGTTTATTAAGGCCTAGACGTTTTGACCGTAATAAATAACCATCTTCGGTGGCCCGTTCGGTTGTTCAACAACAAAACAAATTATCGCCAAATAATTTAAATAGACCTCCCCGCAAGTTGTTGTGTGACCGACGAAATTAGTTTTGTTGATTTTCGAAACTGATAGTGCGCAAAGTGAACCGTTTGTTTCGGAGGCGAACCGACCCAAAGTAAAATATGTAAAGTGATCCTTGCGGGAATCCTTATAATAATATATAGCGTGTCAACTCAACGGGAAAACTTGTCTAAAACACTATCAACAATAAAAATATATTATATCGAAAACGTTTATATAATATGTACTTATTTTTTTTTACAATATTCTAACTGACAAAGTAATTAGTTATAGTTCAAAACGAAATGGAGAGTAAAGGGCGTCGTGGTTTAAATTCTGTTTCGCCGTATGGTGCGTTGAGAAGAAAACAATAACAATTGGAGAACACGTGCAAATTATAATTATAAATTATATTTTGGTTTTGTACATGGTTATCCATAGGGTTTCTATTAAAATAATCGCGATTATGTATAATATTTTCTTTTTAGAACTAATTCGGAATTTTAAATAAGGATAAAGCCCATGGGAAGTATTTTTCTGTCAAATATATTGTTTTATTTTCAACATTAAAATGACTATATATTTTCTTCCAACGCTCTAACAACTTTTAAAACTCAAACGGTAACAAGTAGATGTCACCGTCAATGATTGCCTTTTTAACTTAAAAATAACTGACCGAATATTTTGACTGACCCAAAACTAGTTTTGGATAATTACTTTTAAACCATAATAACTTTAAAACGAATTATCCAAAACTGGATATTGACCAGTCAACATTTTTTTGGCTGTTTATTGTTAATCTCAAACAACGTTAATCAAATTAGTTATACATTACAGTTTAAGTTTCAAAAGTTGTTAGACCTCTGGAAAATAAAACAAAATGTTAGTATTGTCAAATAACATTTTTAAAAAGAAAAAAAAAATTACAATTATTTTGTGAAAAACTAAGTCCCTACCATGATTTGCCCTGTACATTAATTATATTATTTATATACATATATTATATATTAATCGTATCGAAAAATATCAGTTATAATATTATTATCACGTAATCATATAAATAAAATATTATGAAGTAAGCAAAAAGCCAAGCTGCAGTGAGACCAGAATGACAAAATTAAATTTCTTTGGTACATATTTTTAATTTGTTTCACTACTGCAACCATGCGATACAAAATAAAATATTAGTTATATTATTATAAATTTATCACAATATACATTATCATATGAAATTGGTGTTCATCATTAAACTGATTTGTATATTCGATAAGTATTCACTATGCAGTGTGTAACAGCTTATAAAATAAATATTATTTATTTTTATTTGAATTGGTCACACTGACGCTCGTCTTCTTGATTACTTCGTTTCTGAGTTCAGTGCGTTATAATTATGATGCTACAGCTCTATATTATATTTTTACCCTATGCAGTGAATGTATCAAAATAGAAGTTGTGAACATTTTTATTCATTTTTTTTTTTTTGTAAGCCTCATGTACTACCCGGAGGCATACAGCTCAATAACACATTCGCGGTGGTGTATAGGCCTTGTATTTACCACGAGCTTGTTCGTGCCATATTATACTTATATTATTGTCATATTACAGTACCCGAGGGCCTTTTACGATTATTAATATTATGACGTATGCATACTTTCGCCGAGACGAATCGGTTGGCGCGAAAAACTTAAATATGAAAAATATATATTATACTAATATTGCAGAACTTCTGTTGGCGCTATCCGATAACAGCTGTCGTGCCGTTGTTTGTACGGTATGTCTCTCCGGAGGACAGTGTGTATTCAATTAAGACCTAGGGGGGAAGTGAGGGCAGGAAATCGCCTTCCGTGCAAGAGTACATTAAAATCGTCGTCGGTTGTGTGTGTATGTTTTTTTTTTTTTGGTGTGGTAGAATTTCCGACACGAACCTAACCCGTCTGGCTAAGTCGTGCCCGCTCGTTATTTGATTAAACCGTGATTTACGGACATAAAAACGCGAGGGCCTATTATTTGGCTGTGTTCTAAATGTCTCGGCATGCCAATTGTGATTTCCAGCAGCGACATATTATCATTGAACTATTATGCATATCATTATTATCGTTATTATTATTATAATATATTATTATCGTTGTAGCTGTACGCCGAAATTCCGTCGTGCGAAAAAACAATAAAACCGACGTTAAGCCAACCCTATACCAGCTAACTCGGTGTGGTGGTGGTTTTTTTTTTTTAATAGAAAATATCGACGGTTAGAATACCTATTATTGGCCGCAATAAGGTAAAATATTTTAATGAAGTAAGCAAAAAGGCAAGCTGCAGTGTGACCGGAATGACAAAATTACATTTCTCTGGTACATTATATTTTTTTAATTCGTTTCACTACTGCAACCATGTGATACATAATAAAATATTATCACTCAATCGTGTCACCACATGTAATTAAAATTTGACAATTGATCTGTAAAGTTCATAAGGATTGTACTGGCAGCGTTTCAACGACCTACAAAAAAAGTGGTTTATTTTTATTTAAAGTGGTCACACTGTCGCTCGCCTTCTGATGTTATAGTTCTATATATTTACAGACTAAGAGTAAGAGACCATACCGTGAATTGATTTTCAAACTGTCCGCCCAAAAACGTCCCGGACTTTAAACACCGGTGTTTTTTTACATTACTATTATAATTTTTTTTTACAACTGTCAGACGCAGAAATGGTCGTTGCCGTTTTTATTGGTTAAAAATACCAAAAAAATTTCATCAAATAAATAGACCAACGGCAACGTGTTCGACCGTTGTGCATAATTGAAATGTCAAATTATTGTTCATTTAACTGGCACTGAAGAGTTTCGTGTGCCTTTTTCCAATCCAATATTTCTGCGGTCGAAATTACATCTTGTCGGGTGTTGTCCTTCATAGTAATAATATATAATATCAAAACCAAACGTCCGACAGGTACGGCTACTGCATTCGGCATTAAAAGACCATTGTTAAGCACAGGCAATTTGTTTTTCTATTTTTTTTTCTTATTGGAAATAATATGTTCGACCTTATGATTTTATTTGCGCGTTTACCGGGAACAACTGAGTAAATTGGTTGGCGCCATTTATGTACCGGGTTATCCATCTGATGTAAGACACTAATTTTCTCGGAAAATATGAATATTTTTTAAGTTTTATTTTCCTTTACTAGGAGCTACATAGTATTTTAATATATTTTACAATACTTGAAACATGTTTCCCTTCTTCTCTCATACGTAAAAGAAGTTTAGAATTTTTTTTTCTTCAAATACAAAACACATGTTTTTAATTCCATAAATATGTAGTCAAAAAACGTTAGAATATGTTAGTCATTGCATCATACGCTTTGTAGTGATGTTAGTGATGATAGTCCAGTGATGTTAGTGATTGAATTTTTAATCATTAATTTGTTAGTTTGCTATAACTTTTGTAATGATTAGAATTACAAATCTATATTCGTTCGGGTTTAACAACAGTAGCACAATAATTTCCCATTAAATAATAATATCGAACACCGTAGATAACACCGTCGCTGTGTTTTAATAAGTAATAGATTAGTAAAGCTTGTCTATCATTGGACAATGCGTACTTAAATATGAATTTTATGGGCTACTCGATTTTGGTTAACCCAAAACATATGACAATTATAATGGGAAATGTAGCTATTAAACCCAATGAGACATTGAGTGGTTCACGATAAAATTATCAACTTGTATATTCTTTTTAGAAGGTGCTTCCGAGAAAATAATTCTTCGTAAAAAGAGATAAAATTACCATACCCATTTGAAAAAA